TAGTACGATGTGGGGCAATCACCTGCGGTTGTCAGTAGGGCAATCTGGTGATCTGAGTTATAACAGCGAGCTACCGCAATGTTCTCCAACACATGCTTGCTTTGCATGTTGAATCTGTAAAAAACATTTCGATACTGATCTTTTTCATCTATTTCGATCTTTCCTATGATAAACCACTTACCTTTCCGCTATCGGGACCAATCGTTCTGGTCGAAACGTCCCTTCAGTGTCTATCCACATACACTTCCCTAGATCGTGATAGATTCTAGCATATTCACGAAAATGAAATTCTCGTTCGTTTCAGAGCAAAATTCACCTTCACCACCTCCCATTGATACTGGTAGTTGGCAGATAACAGCTAAGCTGTGACAAATTTGACTTTTGCCTGTGCGGTACTCGCCAAAAATCTAAAGCCTCAGTGTAATAAATACGAATTCAGAAAAATATTACTGAAAAACTTTAGAATAGAAGTCAGAAACTTCCAAGCCAACCTCAGTGATGTTGACCCCGTTTCCACTCCTCCACCGATCAGTCTATCCAATGTAGGCGATCCAGTTCGAATCTGTATTAATTCGCTGCGTCGCTCGTGTACTTCATAAGCAGTAGTGAAACCCATCGGCACTAATTTCATTGCTTCGTGCTTGAAATGGTTTATTTGAAAGAATGAGGTAGACACAAAGGACCACAGACACCTAACGCAATGATTGCCTACTACGAAGTGGGAGCATTGTTGATCGCAAAATAAGGCTGTAGTGATACCTGACGCTTCAAAACTGGAAGCGAAATAGAGTGATATTCGTGTAGGACCACTCAAACTCCTGTTCATCAGCAAAAACCCTTCACAGATGGGCAATCTAACATGGCACTTCCACCATTATAAAATTGAGCCCCTTCCCCTCCCCCCGAAAGAGTGTACCCTTTTTGCCAAAATGTCTCCACACAAATCTCCTCTCTACCTGCATTCGAACGAAAAATCCGCAAGTGCCTGATATCATGATATTGTCTTTTAGCAGAACTTCATTTCCCGCCCAAGACTCTGTTCTCGAAAAGGCGATTGCCTCCTGTCTACCCCACGTTGAGATAACGTCACGCAGTTTCCTACAGAGGTGGCTTCTTTGAAGTTTCCCGCAAGGTCCTCCATTCTGTAAGACTCGTGAACAGAAGAAGAAAAGGTGCAGTTGAAGAAAGTGATGCGAATAACATCGTACACTTAAGGGAACCAATGAAACAAATAAGAAGCTAAAAGTGTACCCCTAAGAAGTTTGAATAATGTGGAATTTCGAAACACAAAATGGACTGAATTCAAAGATAACAAACGATACTTTCAGACCATTACCAAAAATTATCTGAAATCAATCTCATAAACATACTAAGAGCTTGTCGGCTTTTTGTTCACTTATTCCCTTCACAGATGTAATCTCACTCCGTATTGCATGAGCTATTCGTTCAACAGTGTTGAATCCAGCTTCCTTTGAGGCGTTTGATGTCTCCTGAGCTGATTCCGGATTGCTGGAAATTTATTACACAAATGTGAGCTTCAATGAAGTCCAAAAAATCTGAGAAGAAACAGGCACACATTAGCGTGCGTGCTACGAGAGGAAGCAAATTCCGCTTCGACGAAGGTGAAAATAAAACAAAATGAAAAAAAAACTTATCGGTATAGCAGAAATATCGAAACTGACCTCGAGCTTCTCTACAAGTATGAATGGTGTTTGCTCTTCCTGTTGCTCATTTGAAACCTCCTCAAAAACTGTCTGCGCGATCTCATGATCCCGTGCGTTTGAACGTGACAGCTGCGCCGCCATCGTATTTCGCAAGAATCTATGTAACTTGTTAGTAAAAAGCGACAGAGACTTTTCCAATTCTAGAAGATGTTTCGAATCCAATTATCAGCACATGACGCGCGAGATACATACCTCCCGCATTTTCACACGGGCAGACTAGTTTGTTTAAATTTGTGTCTCAATTTTTTTACCCAAAACATGTCCATATCACAATTACCGGATTGGGGGGAGGAGGAGAGGACATTCAAGGCGCAAGTGATTCACTTACAATTCCTGACTAAGCCTAGTGAGGGGGGTTTTGGTGAGACTTGAGCACTTTTTCTTTCTGGGGTCTCCCTCCCCTTGTCCTAGTGTCACCTACCAGCAGCTTAATTGTTCTGTGTCCCCCCCCCACATTCATGAGCACCATGATTTTTTTTTGTAAAAAAAAGATGAGAGATGCGCATAAAAAGGCGCGTCATCTACGTTTTAATGGTTGGCGTATCTGTTAGAAGAAGAAGTGTCCGGAAAACGAGTCGTTAGGTTTGCCGAATATACTCGGCAAATGGCCTGCTCCACCCTTTCCCTCGTGTTCGAAGTCACGTACAGGTGGTCCCCTGTTAGGCAAATTCCTCGAAATAAGCTTCGACACCAATGTTCCAGTAGAGTGTGTGCACATGAACTCATCCACCACGTGGTGAAGTACAGTCGATATCCGAAAGTTGGGGTGGGCGTGTCACCGGAAGTGACGTGCACTTGATAGAAGTTGCGTGGATAAGCTGTTGCCAGCATGCTTTGCTGATATCCAGCGATGTATGTTGGAAGCAGCTTATCCACATAGCTTCTATCAAGTGCACGTCACTTCCGGTGACACGCCCCCAACTCACCGATATCGAGTATATGTACACCGCGTTCTGTGATGCTGTAAAGGGCATAAAATATAAGTAAGCGTAGCAAGGTGATGTTTTGAGAAACGTAGGCGCTCACGCGCTTAGAAGAAGAGGGGGAGCACATTCAGAGTAGGGCATTTAAAAACTAGGTAACACAACGACAAAACCCAGGAGAAGGGAGAAACCTCAGGAAGGACAAAAAAATACGTAATCCGCCAAAATCCGTCCCCCTCACTGAGGCCTAGCCCCAAGCTCTGTGTTTTCACTGAAACTTCACCCTCCTCCCCCCCACCTCATCTACATGAGCGTCAGAAAGCTGCAAAAAAATAAAATCCCTAAGAAAACTGAAACTGGTGCTGTCTTACGTTGGGGTGGGACGCAAACGTGGCGCGTTTCGTCTGCTTCCTCCAAGGCTCACATAATCAGTCCCAGTGGCAGTTACTGTTTCGCCATCAAACGTGCAGTTCAAGATACGACAGTTCATTGGAGACTCAGCCTGGGGGAGAAACACACCGAACTGACGAAACCCCCCACCGCCGCGTGCCCCCACCCCCCCGCCCGCTCAACTAAGATAGCCCTCTAAAACGGTGCCTAAACTTTATCTCCATCGTGTTTATACTCCCTCGCTTTCTGTCTGCAAACTGTCACCAACATCTGCCATGCAAGTTGTAATAACATCCTCCATATTATGGGAGGAAGTGGTGCAAGGGAAACTGGCGCTGCTTACCATGCGCAAGATCCACGGATTGAATCCTGGGTCGTAGGCCGAACAAGTTCGCCGAGTTCCATCTCTTCAGGCTTAGTTGGTTCCAGACTTGTTCGGGAGGATAAAATCACTGGCTTGTGCAGCGTCTCCCCTACGCACCTCACCATGTGTGTCAAATTATTATATATGTCCAACATCACGCCACTTCGATTCTGAACGGAAGTAGAGTGCGTGGCGTGCCGCGACAAATTGATCTGTAGGTAGGTAGAGGGTAGTTTCTGCTCACCTCCATGCCCCGAGCTATGTTGTACACATTCCATTCTTTTCAATTCATGTGAAAGTCTAGGTAATGCGAAATTTCTGAAAATCTGCTATTGGTAGACTAACTCTATATTAGAAATATGTAGTAAGACATTTTGGAGAGTTTAGATTTTGTTCTCATTCTGATGACCGTGGTTTCCTTTGAAACTAGCAAAATTTTCAGAATGATGCGGCTACTGATCAAACTAGCGGATGAATTTGGAGTAGCTGTTGTGATTACGAATCAGGTATTGAACTTTAGCTGGACACTTCTACTGCCTAAAGTTCCATTTCCTCGCTAACTTCGTAATCGCATTCGCGTCTTTATGCGCAGCTGAAATAAAAACCGCTAATTCTGTGGGATTTCAAAGGCGAGGTTGCTGCACATGTTCAAAAGCCATTTCTGCTTTATGGCTGGCGGTCCTATACCTTGCTTAACGTATCCCTTGCTCTACGCATCAGCCGTTCTGTCAAATGTCTAACGAGTACTTGCCGTCACAGGGTCACATTTTGTGAATTAAGCCGCCTTTCTTCGATAGGGATTATGTTTGTCTCCTTTAGAAAAGTAGCTCCTTCTAAATATATTATTGGCATGGGATAAGACGCATGAGTTGCGTGGTATAGTTGGCAGATTAGTTCTTTCTCTCTTGCGCGCTTATTTCCCGTGAGTAGAGAAGGTGTCTCTTCAGGGTTTCAAGGAGGGAACTCTTTTGATCAGGTGTGGTGGGATGTTCGGATGCTAAAGCCTTACCGCTGTGGGTGATTTCTGACAGACTAAACCACTGGCCGATGTGCAGTCCAGTATAGTTTAGGATATGTGGATCATACTATGGAGCTCCCTGAAGTGTCCATGTTTCGCGAGCCCCCTTAGCCGCCTGTTGTCAACTACCTCCTTCATGGATCGATAAGGCGCCATTCTAGATTTTCGCGAACACTTTCCGTTGCGTTTGCTCATGTCATAATGAGTTTTCTTTTAATTTTTGGCTGCTCCCTTTATAACCATTCGTGAAAGTCATCGGTATTTCTTTGAATTCATCTCATTTTAATTATTTTTCTCCGCTGCAGGTGGTAGCACAAGTGGACGGAGCCTCCATGTTCCAAATGGATGCGAAAAAACCAATTGGTGGGAACATCATTGCTCATATGAGCACAACTCGGTAGGTCGTACTTAGCTTAGCGCTTTCACTGTTTTGCTTCTCTTTTGTTCGTTATATAACATAAGTATTGAATGCTCTTGCCAACATTTCATCTTTCTCTTTTCAACACTTCGTTACTTATCTTTAGATGAGAAAGTGCACTAAACGGGGGTTTGTGTACTACACTGGTGTGCAAAACTTAAGGACCAGATAGATAAATTGTCCTAACTTATTAACAATTAGATGGAATTGGATGAAACTGTACGGGCATAATGCTAGAAGCCCTACAGTCATGGGCACCGAAGTGGGCCTCATATGTCTTGCATCCGGCTTCAATCTGGAGCCTAAATGGGGTGGCCACCCAGAACGATGGGTATCGTGGGGCAGGACAAGAGGGGTGAACTAAGCAGGGAGAAGTGACTGTGGAATGTAGTGGTGTTCTTGATTACATCAAGTCTCAGAGACAACACACTAGGCGGGGGGGGGGGCGCGGCGGCGGGCGGCGCCGCGGGCCCCTGACTTTACGCGAGGAAGAATCATTGGGAAACTGAAAAAAGGAAGTTGTGTCCAGGAGTTTTGTGTCAACCACAGCATTGTTTTTTGTGCATGAGAAGCAATGTGGACCGCAGCCACTGCTGTCCCAAGAAGAGGAGGTTGTGGGTCACGAACAACCGCAGCAGCAGGTGATTGCTAGGTTTTGCTACAGGCAAAAATGGACCCACGTCAGTCACATGCTGCAGTTGCAAAAACATTTATCAGGATTGTAAGGCATGTAATCCCAGTCCGGACAGTGGCGCAGTGACCGCCTAGGAGTGATCTCTCTCATCGATCAACAATACCTGTATTCATTTGAAATCCACGCCTCGGCTGGGACATTTGGTACGAGCCGAGACATTGGAGATGGACCACCGAATTGAAAAATCGCGTATTCTTCCCGGTCAAGAGCAAACTGAATGTGAGTAGTGATTCTGGACTTACCTGCATATGGGGAAAATAGGAACGTGTAATCTACCCAGGACCATCGTTTAACATGATTGTTTTGGTAGTGCATGCGACATGATGTGGGGAGGCATAAAGTTGTCGGGGCGTACTGATCCCCAACTCATGATCGCGTTACACTTTCTGATCAACGTGATTGTGGTGTTGTACCCTTCTGTCATATGCATCTTTCCAAGGGTTCCCTTGCCCTCAGCTTCAATCGTATGGAGGGCAGTGTGCGAGAGTATCGAGCAGCCTGGGTGCGGGCGGGCGGGGGCCGCGGCGCCTTCCGCCGCGGGCGCGGGGCCGGCGGCGACGGGAGGGCAGTGTGCGAGAGTATCGAGCAGCCTGGGTGGAAAACTCTTGAAAAGTGAGGATTTTCGGTAATTGGTGAAGCCATTTATTTCCTCCAGTCTAATTCTATGGAGCACGTGTGGCGTGGATTCAGATGAGCTATTGTAGCACATGACCATGTGCCAACAATAGTCCTGCAGTTGTCAATCGCGGTCTCCAAGGAATCGGTCACTTCTCCTCAAGAACTCTTAACTAAATCTTACGGCCTGTATGGGAACACGTAGCAGAGCATACCTTGCAGTCCGTAGTGTTCATACACCCCATCAAGAACTAGCTCCTCTCTTTTGAGTGTCTACCATGAGTTGGAGAAGCCTCACCTATCGACCGCTTCAGACAGGGTATTTGCAGAAAAATGTCTTTTCCAATCGCCCCTTTGCGCTTTTCTGTTAGTAACTCTCTGCACTGTACCGCAACATTTACTTCTATATATGTGCCAAATTTGGTCCACCTAGGTTAACTAGCAGTGAGATATCATGTGAAAGTTACTTCGGTCCTTAAGTTTTGCACACCAGTGTATCATTGCCATTGCAAGAAGATTCGTCGACATGAGACTTTGTACTTTGCGGTAGACGAGGCACCAATTCGCTACAGCGAGTTCCGCGATTGGCGCAGTTTTTGCGATTGTCGAAATTGCTGGAATCGCGGAAATAAGCAGAGATCGCTGAAATTGTCTGAAAGCAGTGCTCCACAACATGAGCTGCCTTTCAAAGAATTTAATCCGGACACGAAATCTTAAGATATTAGCTGACCATAACCCCAAATTATTGGGTTTTTGCATAATTATTGCGATTGTTGGACTTATGACATGTTTAAATGATTATTCCGGAGCGTAGTCACCATCCTTCAAGAATGCTTCCCATTTGCTTGGCAGTCGGTCGATTCCACGGGTGAAGAAGTCACGATTCTTGGAGACGATCCACGCTCTAACATCGGCCACCAAGTCATCCAGCTCGTCGTAAATTTTGTTCGTTTGCCAGTTTTTCAACGACTGATTGAAGTGGTAGTCTGTAGGAGCTTCGGTCGGTAAATGTGCGTTTTGAACCTCTTGAACCATCTTTCAACTTGGCTTTTGCTAATTGTTCCCTCGCCGAAAAGTTCGTTGAGATCGCGAAATGACTCTGCCGCCTTCCAACCTTTCTCGAAGTGGTAGAGCATATGTGGCGAATATGAAGATGATTTTCGATAAGCATTTCTGTTAATGAAAGAGAGAAGAATATTTTCATGAAAAATAATAAACAAAACGCCAATCTTTTCGAAAAAGAAGGCGCGAAAAAATCCGCAATAATTATGCATCAACCCAATAGCTTTGCCCTAAGCATAGGCTGGTGTTAAGGCAGGTAATGCAGTTGTGGTTCACAAATAGTGGTGCACAGCTGGAAGTTTGAACCAGCTGGTCGCTTCTCGGCCTTTTGGCTCAAAGTCTAGTTTTTGTTTTGAATAAGTTGGTCGCTATCGCTAATGCAGTAAATTATCCTGACAAGGACACGCCTTGCAGACACCCATTCCCTTTGACCTGATTCTGAACCGGATTTATTGTCTGTTCTTTTTGTGTAAATAGATACGAACATTGTTCATTAATGTTTTAATGATAATATCTTCGTTAGTTTCTACTCTCACCTCTATGAGTTCAGGTTGGGATTGCGGAAAGGTCGTGGTGAAACCCGAATATGCAAGGTCCATCAAAGTCCCAGTTTACCCGAAGCTGAAGCCACGTTTGCTATAACCGCCTGGAGGCATAGACGATGCTCCTGAATAACGCAGTCTTCTTATGTGATAGAGATATTTATGATGCTGCCATCAATTCTCGTCTCATTTGTTGTCTGTTTGTGAAGAGGTTTTTTTTTGTTCTGAATTTTTCATGCCAGGTAGTGGTTAGTAAGCACTTTCATCACTATATCGTTATGGGTTTCTATAGTATTTCATCGTGTGTCTCGCAAAAAGGCCAAATATTCGAAGATTCATTTTCATCTAAGAGTTCCAACGTGCAGATTATATATGCATGTTTTTCCTTATTTGTTCTCTGTTTAATGCATTGATCACTCTGTAAATGTTTCCTTTGTTATAACTCGTCGAACTGTTTGAAACTGGACGAATAGCGTGCTTATATCAATTAGTACTATTATGTGTCAAAGGATATTGAACTGAACGTCCAATTTCTTTCTTTATCGAATTCCTTCGATTCAAACGTTTTCCTTCAACTTGTGTATTTTTGCTCGTTCGAGTTTTTGCTTTTTTTCTTTTATTTAGTTTATGTGGATCATTTAATTTGTGCTGCTCTGATGCGGTCGATCTATTTTTACTGAGAACCTCAGACTTATATAGAGGATGCAAATTTGCTCCGTGTATACCCTAGCTTTTATAAGAAACCAGGTTTTTGTGGGCTAGTATTCGAGTTAGATATCTATAAACGCGACTGTATAAGGATTTTTGCCACACATTATAAATTTACCTCCATAATAATTATTTAATTCTAATTCACTCAGGTTACCAATTTTGCGATGATTTTTTAGAAAGATGGCTATAGTAGGGATCGGTTATTCAGAAGCTAATTTCTTATTCATACGTTCAACAGATTCGCATTAATGTTAGGTTATATGGTTTCAAGTGACAGGCAGCTCCTTTTCTTTGCTAGATGGCTGTCAATATTAGCTCTGAGGAGCGGAACACAGCCATATCTTCTCACAAATCCAAAGCCTTGCACTTTTATGATCAAGCTGACACTGCACGCCACCTCAAAGAGATTTGGCCATAAACTTTCACGTGACAGCGCTTTCCTCATAAGCTTTCTTTTGCTTTGAACTTCATTCTTCATTTGTCCCTTCCAGCTGATCGTTAGTGATCCGACAGTCGGTTCCAACAGATAAACTGCCGCCCATCGCGCTCCCGACTCGTTTTGGAGATCGCCACGTGCAGCCATACCCATCTTCTCGGTCGCTTACGTCACAGCTTCCAGGTGCGACGATGAGCAGCAACAAAAGGGCATGCGTGCTGTGTGGCAACCGACTGGGGGATTTCGTAATACTTCGTGTTTTCGAGAGTTTCTGGCTCGTTCTGCTCACATTTGAAGAGAAGCTCGCGTTATTGACGTATCGTGTCGTTTTATTTTATTTAGATTTGTCAATTATTTGATTGTCCATTGTAGTAGTCGCAGCTGTTCCATTGCATCATCGGGACGACCCACTGACCAGTTCCCGCCCGTTCAGCGTCTTTGGGTGTGGTTTAAACGCCCAATTGGCGCCAGACAAGAGGTTAGGTCCGAGCTCATTCGTTTCATTATTGCCACTCGTTTTTTCTTCTTCCCATCTTTGCTGCAAACTAAACTTTCCAATTACATTTGATACGCTAAAACCCGAAAGACGGGTGCCATTAACAAGAATTGATGACCCTCCTAGAGTTCCGTGCGAGAGATCCCGTTGGAATTACGTGTCATGGGTCGAATCCTACAAAGGAAAACCGGGGTCCCATCCAGTAAGGGGGGGGCATTGTGAAGCGACGTCAAGTGGCTGCCCTCACCCCCACCCCCTAGACTGCCTTCACACCCCCCTGGTTCACAGGGTTCCCTACTTGACAAACGGTGGGCAGGGAGTGTCGACAGTTCTAGAGGTGGAGTATTGCGGCGCCACTTGATTCCGGCCTTACTGGACGAACTAATCTCTTTCGTCGATACTAATGGCTTCCAGATTTGTCTGGTGGATGTTGGGAGTGTTTTCCTGAATCGATGGGTGAACGCATTGGCACTTGGCCTACTTGCATTGCTATAATGTTATTCGCTGACCTCGTTTCAAAAGCGAATGCATGGCGCACTCAAAAATTAGATTGATCAACGTGAGTGTTGCTCACGCTGAGCCTTTTCATTCATATGAAATCTGCGAAGTGTGTGGCATTAAGTAAAGTTCATCTTCTGTTTTAGTATCTAAAATGAAGTTCTCAGCGAATTTTGAAGGAAAAAAAAGCCACAAAAAATGGTAGTGGTACATTTCGCACACATTTGTTGCTACGCGTTGGACGTGTGTTTGACATAGGATGAATGATCGGCGCCGATTTTTGCTAGAAGTTTTTCATAGGCGTTTTAAATTACTGTTTGATTTTCGCCTGGTTTTTTTTTGAGTGCTGGTTTTGAGTCAGCGAAAGCTCTGCGTAACTGTTGTGCGAAATAATTGGGTTTCTTGCCGTACGTTTTAATATTTTTTGCGAGGTGGAATCATCCAATGCTCGGTCGTTAGAAGTCAATCTTGTTGTCTAACATCTTTAAAAAAGAGCGCGCAAACGCTCCCGTTTTTTTTTAACATGACTAAACTCATACATCGGTCTGATTTCTCACTCGAATGCTTCTTCTTTATTCCTGTTGCTTTCGCATTCCAGGATCCTTCGTCTGCCCCATCCAGTTTTATTCTTCGTTACTATTGCTTAATATGCCTGTCTTCATTACAATTGTTAAGAATTAACCATCCTGCTCTGTTCCTCACTTGTGTGGATCTAGAGTGGTAGCTGATCCTTAATCACAGGAGTGTAAGAAAAGATCGTTTCCCAATTTTCCCAAAAATAATTCATGAACGGACCATTGGTAAGTGAATAATATTCGTGGCGCTCATTTCTCAGGGGGAACATTAAAGTGAGGGCTTAAAGTGATTGGATTAAGTTCAGAGGGAAGGATTCTTGGTGGCAAGTCGTAAGTAAATTTCCTTTGCCCTCCTGGCGTTTCTTTCCTCTATTGGGCTTAGTCCTAGCGTCATACACTTTTTAAATGCCTTTCTGAATGTTCCCCCTTAGGAAATGAGCGCCTAATTATTCTTTTGAAAGGCCTACGAGCTGGAGCTCTGCTTTATTTACTGCATGTTTGGCTCTGTCAGGTTTCGTCGCATTGTCCATGCGATTTCACCTGGTCACCGTTCGGTTTTACTGATTAGCTTCAGAGGCGATGTCATCAAATGGTATGCCTACGTGCCGGAGTCCATTGCGAGGAAAGATTACCTGCATACTTGGCCCGATGTTCAGTGGCAAAACGTAAGAACTTTGTTAATTTTTAAGACCACTTTCATTAGATTTGAACTGACTTATCATTGCCAAATCATTCCTATTTTGAGAGCTGAGTAATAATATGCGGAAATTACAATTTTTCACTTGTCCAGAAAGAGCTCTGGACGTGACCTCTTTCTCTCAGCTCTTGATGGATACATACATGTTGTAAAGGCCTCAAATAGCTTAAGATGGTTGTTGGCTGGCTGCAGTTCTGCACTCAGCAAGTCTACGGAGTAAATAATGGATACTCATGTCCGTCTCTCTAGATTTAGAACAGCCTTTTCCTGGGTTCGCACGTTTGCATGGCTCACTTTAGTATCTGCCTCCGGCTTAACTCCTGCACTATGCTATGTACCCGCACTAATTCGTGTACTTGTTAGTGTAGATGACACTTGATCTTCGAAAGAGTTCGAATTTTTTGGTTGATTTTACCGTTTACTTCCACTGAGAACCACTTCCCAGAGACCCTGCAACTGATCCGCGTAATAATTTCTTCATTTCTCGAATTAAAGATTTATCGAAATCAACTGAAATCTAATTCCTGTTTAGAACCGAGTTGTTGCGCATGCATGATCGTCAAATAATCGCGAAGCGAAAATGTGTTCTAGTGAAGTACGCCGGAGATACGAGATATGATCCTGAACTGGTTGCAACGCACGCAAAGTGAGTTTCGCAGTTGTGAATGGAGAACCGTTGCAATTTTTTTCTCAGCATAATTGGCCATTGCAAATGGTGAATCCAAGCTTTTGTCCATTTTCGCTATTATGCTGCTTTTTTTCGAAGTTTTCGGTTTTAGAGAGGGTTTAATGCAATTTCAACTATTTTGTTTTGTGGATCTACTTGAAGGAGTTGTGCTGATTGACAATTTTTAAGGATGATTGGACAAGGTATCACCGTGAAAGCGCATAAGCTCTCCGAAGTCGAGGAGCATATTTTCGACCCCAGCGTACAAGTTGTGTCAATCGATGAAGGACAATTTGTAAGTTTTTTTTCATCTTTACTTCTGTTCTTTTTTCTACTTTTTTTACACCACGTTTTGTATTCCTTTCCAAGTTTTGTGATGGTTCTTCTCATGTGTGAGGCAAGGAGCTTTTCACAACAAATCAAGGCGCAGGTTTCGTTTCGCAGCCCATAAATGTTGAAAAAAATACTAGTACAGGGCGGAGTGCTAGCTCCACAGTTAGATGGCTGTCTCAGTAAATATAAGGGACATATTTACTCTTGTCTCTCAAAAATAAACACTTCTTTCTTTGCAGCAAGCCAAGTAGGGGCCTCTGGTGAGGAATATTTGGCGGTCGCCTCTATCTACTCTGTAATGAATGACGCACTCTAGAGAGTGGTCAACGTTGATACGGGTTTTGCGAGTCATACACGAGACTAGAGCGAAGAATAGTTTCTGAATTTTTAGGGTAGCAGTAATTCTTTCATTTCGGTGGGATTCGTGCCTAATCAACATGATAGCTTCCCTTCCCAGGACGCGCCATGCATCCAATTTCTGTTGGGAATATCAGTGGACTCGATTAAAAACTATCTTACCACAAGTGCGTAGAGATACGTTAAGAGTGCCAAATGCTTGCTTATACAATATTATGCTACGGAGTCGACCGAAAATGTGCTAAATTTTTGTACAGGACCTGTAGGACCCATGGAATATGGAGAAGCGGTGACACCTATGCCTCTGCCCCACTCAACAGTGAAGCAAGAAATAGTTGACTGCTTAATGTCTGCATGGTTTCTTTGTATAGCGCGGCTATTTCCTCTGAACGTTTACTATTTGTTTACTAGTGAACGTCAGTTTGTCTAATGTGAATATTCACTTTTGCTCTGCGCAAGTACTGAGTTTCTCTGTGTTTCTTTCTGCTTCCGCGAATATCTTTTTTTTTTCTGGTTTAAAGGAAGTGGTCACGATAATTTTCATGGGAACGATAAGGGAATGTATTGGAGTGGATAGAGGTCCTGCCCATGTTACAACACGTGAAGTTTCAGTGGCAGTGGCGCCTTATCAACGGAGTGATAAGGCGCCGAAATCCACTTCCGTTCAGCAAAAACCAAGACTTATCGATGTGGAAAGGGGTGCGATAAGAGCGTGCTAGATATGATACCGTTATCGTTATCGTCCCGTTTTCATTCTGGAGTGCACCTCTTATCAAGCAGCCGCACCTTCTTATCTCATCGTATCATATCTTCCATGGGCTTACACTCGTCCAACAATTACTGCCTCACACCTTATCGATTGATAACGCGAGGGTAGCAAATCCAGCGTGGAAGCCAGCGTGATCGCTTCCTTTAATTTGAATTGCATCCTTATTCTGGTTGGATTACTCATTATTTCAGTTCAGCGACTGTGCGGAGACGTGTGACAGGTTGGCAACAATGGGCAAAGTGGTGTATGTAGCAGCGTTGAGCGGCACTTTCGAACGGAAGGTTTCTTCTCAATCTTCCCTTTTGTGACATTTCCGTTATAGACTTCTCGATAGACAAAAAAACTTCTTTTTTCAGTAGTACTCACCCCTTTGGAGTGAATGCTCTGTAAAATGTTGCTAGAAATACAGATTAATTACTGTAGGCAGCAGCATTCAATACGCTTAGATTACTTTAACCTGCTTAATAGCTAACACTTTAAAAATTAGGGCCGAGCTCCATTTCATTCCATTTGGGTCTGATTCAAATTTTATCACATTTGCAGCATTTCCTCTCCGTTCATATGCTCTGCAACTGCCGATGAGAGGCCCCCCCCCCCACCCCCTCAAGCAAGTTGTTGCCGTGTGCATGGGATGCGGCTCGGATGCGAGCTATTCTTTCCGAAATAATACTCTCGACAAAAAGGTGAGGTCAAGTTCTCGTGATTGCGACTGTCAAAATAGGTCAAGCGTTCAAAAACGGGTCAATTTTTGAAATATGGAGAAAATGACAGTTTTTTGGGCCGTTCTATAAGAATAAACCCTTGGGTCCAAAGCGCAGACAGCTGGACTTCTCATTCGAAAATTGTTACCTTTCTCTTCGATAATTTTGCTGCTCTTCTAGCTGCTACAGCTTCACATAGTTTTTTTTTTCGTGATCAGGAAGCTATATTTACAATTTTGAAGAACTGCAAACGCTTGTAATTCAAGCAAGTGGGTCTGGCCTGTGCGCGACATTCTAAGCTGGTCCTTCTCATGTGTAGTTCTGTGCGCACTTGAGAACCTCCATATTGTTTGACGGCAATCGAAAGTGCATTCAAACCTGAAACTGAAACCGTTTTTCTGTGAAAGCCCTACATTCAAGAATATTTTTCCGGTTTGTTTGTTGGTTCGCTTTTGTGGTGGTTTTGTTTGCGATTGTCTGAAATAATTTTTTTGCATCCAACGAATGAATAAAGTGACTTTTCTTCAGGTAGAAGTGATCGGAGGTCAGGACACTTATCAAGCGTTGTGCCGCTCATGCTACATCGAGGAGTCCTGTCGACGTGAAGAGACTGCGATAGAAACCGCATTCAATGAGAATCGAGCTGTTGCCAGTCAGTTGTGCAGAGAGGGCGAGTCCTCTGAAGTACCTCGCAAGGTGTTTCGGCTACAATTTCATCCTGACAACTAGCAATTATTTATTCTAAAACTTATAACTCGTTTTTTGTCTTTCTCGAATTATTCCACAATCATTCTCCATATCACCTCGAGCACATCAGTGTCGTGTTCCTTCTGTGCCATACTGAGATTAATGTTGTACTTTTTCACTTTTCTGGTGTAGATCTGTTAACCTCAATTTATTGATATTTTCCTATATTGTAAGATGATTATTGAGATATGCTGAAAGCAGTGATTCAATGAACTTATTATAAATATATGGGGTGTAATTTTGGTTGTTGTGGCGTACAAGGTGTTATAGATGGAACAGGTTAGGCTCGCGCAAAAGGGAAGGGTACCAGGTCGGGAATGCAAAAGGGATGTGGTTGGCTCGCAGGGGAGTGTCGTGGGATCGGTTCCGTAGGGACTGCCGCCCTACAAACATGCCTTAGGGATAGTTCGACGCTGTGTACAAGAATACTATGCTTGTTTGTCGCTAAAGTGTCGAGCGTGAGCGCTGCGCTACAGGCAATCAAGGAAGTAGCGCCCATCTTCTTAGAAGTAGGAACTTTACCAGCTCTAAACAAAGCATGCCCTTAAAGGGAATAATTTCGACCTGGTGGCGACGAATACCAACCTGTTTGTTTCATCGCTAACGTGCCGAGGCGTGGAGCCTAGCGAGCATGACCCGGCAATCATGGGGAAGTAGCAGCCCTGTCTTCTACGGATTCTCTCGGCAAAATGTTCTCAGAAGGCCATTCATGGCCAAGGGTAGAATGACTTGAACGATGGATAGAAGACGTTTTAGAACGGCCGGAGTTTTGGAACCCGGCGCGACAACCTCCCTAGACAGTCAGTCTCTTGACCTCCCATCTAGAAACAGCCCAAAGACCAAAATGTCCGCTGGGCCTTCGTGGCCTTATTACACATTCGCTCACATAATCCGTATCTAAAAATGCAGGCCCGCAAATATAGCGCTGCAAAAACCCCACGACTCTCCCCCCCGGCGATGTTTTCATTCCGCACACGGCGCTCTCCCGTCACCTTGGGTCTCTTACCCTTCTCACAGCGGTTTAAAACCGGACCTTGACATCCACTCCTTCGCTGCTGAGCCGCTCGTGTGTCCACACATCGTATGTATTGTTGAATTTTATACGGTCTCTTGAGAGTGAAAGTGGACCTTTAAAATGGCTATTCAAGGCCACTGCAACCCTTCCTTTTGAATAAGTGCACCTCTCCTGAACCCCCCTTCGTGAATGGTTCGTCCTTATTTAGTCGAGAATTGGAGCTCGTTTCGGCCACACTACCCGTCAAATCCTATTGCCCTTCAAAGAAGGGCAACCAGCAAAAAATTTTTGGGGCTTTAAACAAAAAAAAAAACTCCCACCCAGTACACTCCCGGTTGGCAATAGCGCTTCGTGTTTTTTTTTTTTTCCCCAAATTCCGTTTCGCTATACCTAATGCTTTTTTCTTGGGCAGGTAATTTTCTAATTCTTCAAGTTCTGGGAATGCTAATGGGACCGAGAAATGGATGTATCGTGCATGTCAACGCGTATTCGCATCCGTGCATGAGTCCCGGGGTCGAATCTTGCAAAATTCCATAAGATAACCCAACCGCTTGCGCCTGGGTCCACTCAATCCCCCGCTCTAAAAATGATACCTATGAAGAGACTCTCATATGTCAGTTCCCCCCCATCTCGTCTTTCAGATGGCGCGCGCTTCTAAAACTCCACCATTTGTACATTCGCAGTGGCTTTTGAATGCGATGTGGCCTATACAATGACTTGCGGGGGCCAGCCGATGTTCAAGTCAGTGTTTTTATCCTCCCAGACAAGTCTGGTACCAATTAACCGACCCCGGAGGGATGGAAGGCTTGGTTGGCCCGGGCGACTCACGACCCAGGATTTGATCCCGGACCGCTCGCGTGGTAAGCGCGCCACTTGCCACTTCATCGCCAATCGGCGTTAGATTCATCTTATTGGGCAGAAGCACCGGTCTGTACCTTGCCTGTTTCCGTATGCGTAGTATAACATTCAAATTCTACCACGATTTTGAATAGAAGTTAGAATGCGAGGCGCATTTTGAAAGGGATTAAAAAAGCCGAATGCGATATCAAAATCAATTGGGAGTTGATCAAGCCCTAGATCGCACGTTGTCCGGGCCAACTGAGCCTTCTATCCCTACGGTACGGTAGCAGAGTTGTCTGGGATGATAAAAAAAACGCTGCCTTGTATACGGCTGGCCCCCTCAAGTCAGCAAATCGCATTCAAGTGGCCCTTCTATTCTGAATGGAAGTGCAATGCGTGGCGCATGCCAAAAAGAGTTTACCAACACTGTATGCTCTTAGATGTTCGACTATCCACAAATCTTAGCATTGCTTGGATTGCCTCTGTAGCAGTTATTAAGATGGTATAATCACTTTATTGGCTAACGTTTCGGCCGTGTCGCCTTCGTCAGAGCCTGTAAGTCAAAGATAAGTGCGACCTAACCTCCAAACGCAATTTCAACTTCAGAGCAATTCGCTCTAGAATAAAGGCATCTAGATAGAAGGAGCAAGACACAAACACTCGTTAGACTCACCTCTAATTGATTTACCATCTTGGTAACGGCTACAGCAGCAATACAAGCAGTACTGTATGCTCTATTCTTTACTTTTTATCCATAATCACGTAGTTGTTATGATTAGACCATGGGTAAGATCGCGTTAAAGACAGAAGGGATTTTTTTTCGATTTGCTGTTCTATTGGAAAACTGGGAATGAGTGTTCTGTGCTCGGAGTGAAAGCAGGTTAGGTGCCCTTATCGGGTCCGGCTAAGGCCACGCCCTTCAACCATTTATCAGTGTTTAGGCCGAAAAGTGAAATTAAGTACAGCGCTACCCAGAAGGAACCTCTTATGTGCTTATGTGGTTCAAAATTGTAAAGAAAGTACGTATCTTGAAGAGCAATGAGCCAAGGTATTTTGCGAATTTGAATCTCGTTTCTTAGCCCTTATCTCTTGACCCCTTGCCTTTTGTATTGATAAGCTTGTGTTTACCTACCAGTTTTTCTTGATTCGGGGTTTTTCTTCGGTAGTGAGATAAGAACCGACGACCACAGCCAGTGAATTTCTCCTCTGACAATCAGTTCTAGGTTGCTCCTCGAAACAAGCTCTCGCTGTTAATCTACAGAAAGCTGAGCCTCCTTTTTACTTTTCATTTCATCAGCTTGTTTGCCTTCACGGAGTCAAATACCCGGGGTAATTCTA